TCAAGTTTAGAACAGCCCCAGGTCTTGTTCGCCTGTCGACCGAAACGGTAAAAATTATTTTCCGGACCTTCCGAGCCTGGACCGAGAAAGGATTCGGAGGGGTGAAAAATGCGCGTCCGTCGTCCTTTCTTTTCCGAAGTGGCCATTAGCCACAAAGCCGGTGAATCAAAAGGGGCTTGACGTCAAGCCAAATGCTTTTACAATTGTTCGCCTCACCGATGGCCGTGAAGAGGAACGACTCGGCTCTTAGGATTCCGGTCACGAACCTCGACCCGATGCCACCTTCCCACCTGGAGCGATTCTTACCCATCAAAATCGATAACAATTTCCTTGTCATCAACTACGAGAGCCATCGCCAATTACGATGGTAATGGATTTCGAGGTTCAGTGACATCCTCAGGTTTCGATCCTTTTTCCACTTTTTGATATTCGAAATGTTTGATCGTACAACCGATATCTCAATTTGAGCGTTTAAGATGCGTAAATTGAGTTGTTTTATTGAAAATTGCTCACGCATTTTGTAAAAAGACTTACATAAAGTTATTTAACTAATTTTACTAACTACCCCTTGAATTACTTGACCAAAGATCTAAGTTACATCCTACTAATAAATTCACCATTTACAAGAAACTCTGACCTTCCGAGATCTACCAAATTTAAGTAAGGATACCGACTACATCATCCGAAAGAACTGTAACGTTCTTTTTTCCCGTAGCGTGTAACATTATACACACTAAAAAAGTGTTCATAATTTTTAATTCACTACAACACTTACACTTAGTCCAGGACCGAAACAGCAGTACGTGTGAGAAATCAGTCAACACTTACACAAAGGTAAACTTTGGAGAACCTTAGAGCAACATCTGGTGTCCCCCAGAGATCTCACTTTGGCCCAATCTTGCTTTCAATGTTGATTAACGAATGTCCTCCTGTTTCAAAGATTCAGAATTTTTACTATTGGCAGATGATGTAAAAGTTTTTGCCGTTGTAAATAATGTTGAGAAAAATGTGCGCGTCTGCAAGAAGATTTCAATAGGTTTGTCTTTGGTGTCTGAGGACTGACCTCTCTCTTAATCTTGACAAATGTAAGTTTTTTATAGGAAAAAACATCCCTATTACTCCTCCTACTCTTTGCTAGAATCTCAATATCTGAGATTGGTGACGTGGAAGTAACTTTTTACTCTGCGTGTTCCTTTTCTCTTCATGTTAGTTAAAAATGTTCTTTCAGGATCGATCTTTGTTGATGGGGATTTGTTTCTTGTGGAAGATTACTCCTTTCCACAACTTCTCAGTTGGTGGTTTATTGATTTTATTACTGTTTGTATTTCTTAATTTTAAATATTGTAATATGAACCTCCGTATTGATTAGAGGGGTCATCCTCCTGTAACGTACTAAAATAAAAAAACACTGCCACTCAGCGTAAGGTTTTAACGGGTGAAGAAGTCTCAAGGCGTTTTTTAAGTCGAAGTGAAAGGTTTCGGGATAGGAAAGTATACAGAGGACTTGGCAAATAAGGTTAGGCTAAAATGGAACTTAAAATAGCGGGAACGAATCAATTATTTGACGAAAGGAATGATCAAGCAATTTTAGTTCGTGAGGTTAATAAAATAGTAAGCTTGGACAATTCATCTCAAGACTTTTGACTGAAAGACTCGGTGCGCCACGGTGTCATGTGTAGTATAACAAAGTGTTTTTGCTTGTTAAATCTTGTGTCAGGTTTCATGTACGTCTGCTGTCTAGGTATAGCCTTAAGTACCTAACTTGAGCCGAAAAGAAACCTTGATGGATCATTGAAAAGATGAGAATCAATATGTAAATCCGAGCCCCTGTATAAAATAAAAACTTACCTCCTCCTTCCTTTCACTAAAATCTGGGGTGCCCCAAGGCTCTAGCATCTCTCCTATCCTTTTTTTCCATTTATATCAACGACCTGCCCGACTCCATCCAGTCCTGTAACTATCGCCTATATGCTGATGACTCCCAAATAAACATATCCTTCCACCCATCCGATCTTCACTCGGCCATTCTCAAGATCGAAAAAGACTTCAACTTTATCAACGAATGGGCGCATAAAAATTCCCTAGTCCTTAATCCGTCCAAATCCACCGCCATAATTATCGGGTTCAGCCAACTCCTCAATTCCCTCCCCAGCATCCCACCTCTCATGCTAAATAACCATCCCATTCTCTTCTGCTCCTCGGTTAAAAACCTACGAGTAGTCTTTGACCAAAACTGACCTGGCATCCTCACATTTCAAAAATTTCCCGCCATAGTATTGCCTCTCTCAGCATATTTCGGTCCTGGCTTCTCTTACCTTTCTCCACTCGCAAACTCCTTGTATCTTCCCTTGTATTTCCCTTCTTCGATTATAACTGTCTGGCATACGGTGGTCTCTCGGAGGGGGGGGGGGCAACGCGCGACTGAAGCTTATTATGAATTGTGTTCGGCACCCCACGGGGGTGTATCGGGGTTGTATTCCCAACTTTCCTGGCTCTACCCATCTTTCCGTGCACAGTATTTCCTAGGTTGCTTTCTTTTCCAATCCATCCACACTCATCGTCCTCCTTACATCATCCAATCTCTCCAATTCAACTCCTCACATCTCACTCGTAACACCCGCTCATCCCCAATCGACCTTATCCTTTCGCAACATACCTTCGAAAGATCCTTTCTGATCCCAGCCCCTAAACTCTGGAACTCCCTTCCCCTTTCTATTCATCACGCTGCATCCTTTTCCTTCTTTAAATCCCACCTGTATAATCACCTCCTTTCCCTCCAAGCACAGACCTTTCGGTAATATTTGATATTTTTGTTTAATATTCTTGAAATTTTCTCTTCTGGCCTGTCTTACTGGTATACATTGTGCCAAGATTTTTATCTCATTTTACTTTTAATTTCATAGAAGGAATGCAATGCCTGAAGAAGGCAATAAAACTTGTCGAAAGCTTGGGCGTTGATATAATAACATTGTATGTTTGAAGGCCACAACCCGAATCCCAATCAACTTCATAGAAGGAACTTCCTTTATTTATTTATTTAGAAATCGTGAGATGCGGTCTGGTGTGGTGTAGGTTTCAGAAAAATATTTTCTTTATCGTGCCAACGTTTCGATCTTTATTGAGATCATCTTCAGGGCCTGGGATTTACAAACATTGTTTACATATAACAATTACATTTTGGATGTGGAAAAGTGAATTTATACAATGCAAATTATATTTTTTATATATTCAATCAAAGTATTTCTACTCACTCAAAGTTAGTCTTCTGTGTAATTGTGCCATTCTTGCGTGTCGTGTCGAGAGTGCCAGTGAGATTTGGATAGTTTGTGTTGGATTTTGAAGTGGTGGAGAAGGATGTCGGTATAGAAAATCTGGATAATCTGGCCGAACCATTACGAGCACATTTTTTCCCTTCGTCGGCTCTTTTCACCTCAAAGAAGCCGACGCCTTATACAAAAATGTCTTTTCTATACCGACTTCCTTCCCCACCCCTTCAAAATCCAACGTATATAAACACAAAATAGCAAAATCTCACTGGCACTCTCAACACGACACGCAAGAACGGCACAATTACACAGAAGACAAACATTTTGAGTGAGTAGAAATACTTTGATTGAATATATAAAAAATATAATTTGCATTGTATAAATTCACTTTTCCACATCCAAAATGTAATTGTTATATGTAAACAATGTTTGTAAATCCCAGACCCTGAAGATGAACTCAATAAAGATCGAAACGTTGGCACGATAAAGAAAATGTTTTTCTGAAACCTACATCACACCAGACCGCATCTCACGATTTTTAAATAAATATCGATTAACGGTCAGTAATCACCACACATTCCTTTATTTATTTCATGTATATTGTTCTTAGGGGACACCAGTCCCAGAATAATTTTTTTTCTTCTTCTTCTTTTTCTTAAATCAGGGTTATTAAAGGCTATTCAAAGATTTTGTACATCCAGAAAGAAGGCTGATGCCAAACTATCCACAATGACCTCCCAATTTGACTTGATTTCATTAAATGCCGATCTCTATCTTCGCTCCAATCCATTAGCCCAACAGCTTACTTGTACAAATATTCCTGGAAATTTTACTCTTCGTTTAGGTTATGATTGAGATTAAGAGATCTACTTGATTGACCGATACAATGCGAGTGAGTATCCCAACTGGGTGGATATCAAGTTCAACATGTAACGTATTTGTAAAATTTTAGATAAATACAATTTTTAAACACTTATCACCTCGTAGAACAAACAACAAAATTTCATGAATTTTGATTAATTACACTTTATCCATCAAGTGGTATTAGAAAAGTATTGCTCGACGGCTAGTATAGATAGTGTGACTGAGAACCGATCGAATCTACCTGACGCCAAAGCCGGTTTCGATTATCGAGAAGAATTTCATTAACTGGGCTAACAATATGCTTTATGAAATAGCCCCAGGGTTGAGCTATGGTCGATCTTCCTCATCCTCTCAATTGATCTCGATCTCGTGGAATCACCGCACTTTCAACGTTCCCCTTAATAACTTTCGTCAGAGTTCGCCGGCATGTGTATAATTTAATTTCTCATTGATATTGGTTTCGAATCGGGAATAAACCGCGATATGGATTAGGAAAATCTTGAATTCCTGATGTCAATCAGGTTCTCACAACTTTAAAGTTAGAATAGAGCTCTGGACTAAACGCAAAATTATAGAGAAAAAGTCCTCTGCTCAAAGATAAATTTAAAATATTTTCTGCCAAGCCAAGGCTATTTATTTTTTCCAAAATCAATTTATTACTGAATGGTCTTAAAATTTATAATTTTTCTATTTGTTGCATAATTTATTATTTTGACTATTTGTTGCCGTATTCTTGTATTTGGATTTTATTAAGGTGTAAATAACTCACTACTCTCTAAAGATTTCGGTATTTTACTGTGGCATGCAATGAATGTGCAAATAACATATTTCAAATACGTATCGGGATTGATAATTAATGATTTTTTTTAGGTTTGTGGGGAAAGTGCTTTGGGTTTTCTCCTCCTGAGTATCTCGTTTGGTACATTCTGTTTATTATTTTTGTAACATATGCTATGCTCCCGTTGCCTTTGAGGTGGTCCATCGCCGCAGGTATGGTCACGTCGATTGTCCACGTCCTGCAGACGGCGATAGTACTGCACCGATCGAATGTGGTAATGTTTACATCTACAGTGTGTTAGTCGATTGTGTGTGATGACGGGTGTTTTTCGGTAGGTTTTCTCCTGCACCCTGAAGCAGATTGTGGCGACGAGCCTGCTCTACTGCGCCGTCAACTTCACGGGGACTTATACCAAGTACCTAACCGACAGGAGCCAGAGGAAGGCCTTTCTGGAAACTCATAGGTCCACGGAGACAAGGTTCAAGACGCAAAAGGAAAACGAACAACAGGAGAAACTTCTTCTTTCTGGTAAGACTCCTTAGACAGTTCTTTTAGTTCTGTTGATTAAAATCTTATCTAATTTATTGAATTTCCCAGTTCTTCCGGATTTCGTTGCCAGAGAGATGATAAGGGATATAGCAAACGAATCGGAAAGGGGTGCCTTTACACCGCACCAGTTTCACAGAATTTATATCCATTGCTACGAAAATGTCAGCATTTTATTCGCGGATATTAAAGGATTCACCGGTAAATTGAGATGTTTATACATTCTACTTTCAGTCAACATTTAACCATGTCTTTCTTTTTTTTCCAGCCTGGGCTAGTCAAACCAGCGCTCAAGAACTAGTGAGAGTTTTAAACGATCTATTCGCCAAATTTGACAAGCTAGCAATGGTAGGCCTTTTATCATTCATTGGCTTTTATTGTAATGATCTTTTTACACATAAAAAATATGAACATTAACTATAACATTTCTATAACACTTCCAATGCACTCCTATGATCATGACAACTGAACGATCTTTTTTAACTAATTTTACCGAAGTATCTGTACTACTAAAATATTATGCATTGCATTGTGGTTTATGTTGTAGTCGATTCTGCAACCATGTTAATAGTTCGTTGATCTAGGCAGATCACATCCAAAGTTTCCCTCATTATGAAACAAGATCAGATGATTAGATAGGTTAAACTTTCTTTTTTAAAGGTTAGGTTATCCCAATATTTAGGACCTATAGTACTTTCCAATAACAGTACTTTACTTCTGATCTTTTATTTTGACTTCTCTTTAATAGCCAAACTACCGAACGACATGCCAAACTCAGTCGATAAAATAAGTATGTTTTAACCTGTTTTGGCACTAAGTGTGATACAAGCGGAATAACTGTGTAACGGATAAATGTTATAAATTCCAGTCAAGTTTTTAAGGAAATATACAAACATGTACCCTCCAAAAGATGGAAGACGAAGTTATTGTATGGATAACGAGAGATGTGGTTTGTTAATTGATTAACGTTTTAGGAAAACCACTGCTTGAGAATAAAACTTCTCGGCGATTGCTACTACTGCGTGTCTGGCCTTCCTGAAGAACGTCCCGACCACGCTGCTTGCTGCGTCGAGATGGGTCTGCACATGATCAAAGCCATCAAGGACGTTAGAAACAAACTAAACGTAAGCTCTTCGACCCTCCACGTCCGGTCCGCTCACTGATGCGATATGACCTCTGCCGACAGGTCGACTTGAACATGAGGATCGGCATCCACTCCGGGTCAGTCCTCTGCGGCGTGCTCGGCTTGCGGAAATGGCAGTTCGACGTTTGGTCTTACGACGTCACCCTGGCCAACCACATGGAGTCGGGCGGCATACCCGGGTACTGAAACATTCATTTCGGACGGTAATCGTTATTACAGACTCGAGATCTGGACATTGATCGCCCCTGAACAGGAACCAACAAAACTCAATCCGGAGTTTCCAAAGTTAAACGAACCGACAGTTTATAAAGTCGACGATCTCGGCTTGCACAGGCCAGACCTTAGCAAACTCAGGCCCTTTAATTATTTTGTTTAATTCTTTTTATATTTTAAAATGATGGGATACTGTGGAAAACAGAAATTGTCGGCTTGGTCGAGTAAAACAACAAAAAAGGTAACTAGATTTGTTTGACTTTTCAGAAGAGTCCACATATCAAAAGCTACCTTGGGTTGTCTGAACAACGCATACGAGGTGGAACCCGGATACGGAGAAACTAGGGACCCGTACCTCAAGGTATCTGCATTCCACGGTTTTTCATTATTTTCGTAATTTTAATGATGATTTAACTATTTTTCCAGGAGCACGAGATCGAGTCGTACATTATCAAACAACAGGTGCCGACGAAGCAGACGCATAAAATAGGACGTGAGATCTCGAGGACGAGGCTCTGGTCCGAAGGAGAACAGACGCTCATCGCAGTCCAACAAGTTGTCAGTGCGTAAATTTTAACGCCGTTCCAATGTTGCTTGTGTAGTTGTAGTTGGCTTTACTATCTCTTTCTCTTTGCCTCCTTAGTCGTGTCTGCCTCACGAGTGTTTTTGTTTGTTCTCTCCTTGTAGAAACCAAATCCACTAATTGTTTGAATACCTTCTTTAAATCCCTGAGAAGGTTCATCCCGGATATTTTTGGTTACATTGCAGAGAAGGAAAGGAAAAAACAAGTAGATAGCAACGGGAACCACGGCAACCACACGGCGGGCATCGTTGAGGATTGGACGCCGGAAATACCTTTCGAAAATGTAAGTGTGAAAATTATTGAACGAAAGTCAGACAAGAGAATGTTTTGTGCGTATTTTTATGATGGTCAGCGTGAGCTGTTGACCAGTTACAGGCAATTGGATCATCCGAGACTACCGTTGTATTCTTGATTTATGATCTGATCGGATTTTAACATTTGGCAATCATTAATAATTAACTCAATGTGAATTGGTGAATTAAACAATATTTGTTGATAATTTTTTTAACTACCTTTTGAAATTTCATTTTGTCAACAATTTCATCAACTGATCTCTTGATCTTCTTTTATTTTGGCTCTACCCACCATTTTACCAACGACCTGAAGCACCGTCAAATTTAAAGATTTAAACATATATTTCAGGATTTCAATATATTATATGTAAGAAAAACCTGCAATATTGTCACTTTTAGTCGCCTTATTTCCCTTTTTGTTAATTGTTTTATTTAGTTTCTTACAGAAAATAAAAATAGTGAGTGTTTTGAGACGTTCGCATCTATGCCAGTGACTATTGAGATTGGTAAGGTTTGGAAATTATTTACAATACGTAAAAAGTTGGAAATAAATTAAACATATTTGTCTATTGTATTTATTGGTACAATGAATTTTAATGTGGTAACTACAAAAAAAAATAGGGAATTTCTGACTTTTTTATTTTTAAAGTAGAAAATGTCGTAAAAATTAAGTAAGCAAAGTTCTTCTTTTCAAAACGGCATTATAATTACATTTTTTTCATATTTTTTTTAGATATTTGTATGCCTTTCTTATAGCATGCGAATGTTGATGACAAAAGTGGCTATCTTTTTATCACAGTTGAGCTCGACCGGACAAGAGCCAGAGAGGAGTGAGGCGGACAACGAAGCTGTAGCAGATGTGAGTACTGCAGAGGAGGCCGACATCATGATGGACCATTGCATAGAGGTGGAGAGCAATCAGCGGATGCGCAAGGAAAACATTAGCCCTTGGACACTTCGGTTTAGGCAGCCACACATGGAAGAAGAGGTTTATTACGCTACTTTTATCTAATTTGCCAAACAGTCGTTGATCTTATTTTTTTGCTGTTACAGTTCTGCCAGTTGAGAGAAGACATGTTCAAATCAAACATGCTCATCTGTTATGTTATATGGCTCTTCATAGTCGCATCACAAACTGCTATTCTTCCACGTTGCAATGCACTGGTCGGCTATGTCGTTTCAGCCACAGTTTTACTGACATGTGCGGTTCTGCTGGTCATGGCAGAAGAATTACCAAGACTTCCTCAAAAACTGCAACACATCTCATCTGTTCTAGTTCATAATAGGTTCAGAAGGACGATTTTCATTTTAGCGTTTGTAGCAATAATGGCTATAGCTTCCACACTAACACTGGTATTAATACTAATTATAATATGAATTTTTGTGTTCTTATATTAAATCTGTTTTAGGTCTTGTTACCAGATCACTTACTTATAAGCAATATAGTAAAGAATAATACTCAAACTGAATTCAGTTGTCATGATAGTGAATGCGATGACGGCATGAAAAGGATTCAAAGAGAAATAGAAGATAGCAATGTAAAGAAATACACTACCACAAACCTGCCTATAATAAATTTTGATAAAAAAGGGGTTATCAATCCAAATTTACTTTTTCAAAATGTAGAACAGAATTCAAACATGAGTTCTTATTATGCCTTGGATAAGCATTTACACACATATGCCAGAGTGAAAAGAAATGCTTCTGGAGTTAGTATTTCGAAAAATTCTACTGACCCTTCAGAGAACGACCATTACTTCAAATCCTGCATCCATGTAGAACATTTGGTGTTCACGTGGGTGCTATGCCTGATCGCATTGGCTACGACACTGAAAGTATATTTCTTAGTCAAAACGGCTCTGGCTCTAGTCATGGTCGGTGGGTACACATGGTTGATCCTGGGACTTTATCCAGAAGTGTTCAGACAACCACAGTTGGATAAACAGTAAGTTAGATGAAATATTCTGTACTTCTCCCTGACTCTAACATTGTCTTTCAGCTTGAAGATGCCGTTTTTTGCTCAAATGCTGCTCATGCTGTCAATATTTTTTACACTGGTCGCCTATCATGCAAGACTAGTCGAGATTACCTCAAGGTTGGACTTTCTCTGGAAATTGGAAGCCCAACGTGAATTGGCTGATATGCGGGAAACGAGAAAGAACAACAGACAGCTGCTAAGGAACATCCTTCCTGACCATGTCGCACATCATTTCTTGCATGACCGAATAGCCGATGTAAGATTGTTATATTGATGTTTGAATATTTAAACTATAAGTGTGTACTTTTTAGGAACTATACTCTCAGTCAAGAAATAAGGTAGGTGTCATGTTTGCAAGCATCCCGAACTTCACTGAATTCTACTCAGAAGACGTTAACAAAGGCATGGAGTGTATAAGGCTTCTGAATGAAATCATTGGTAGGACTATTAGACATTAATTTTTTGTTTTTGTATTAATTGAAATTTTTTTTCTAGTTGATTTTGATGAACTTCTCTCAGAACCTCGGTTTGGTTCTATTGAAAAAATTAAGACAGTCGGGGCATGCTATATGGCCGCCTCGGGGCTGAATCCCACACACGAGGTACTCATTCGCCTTAAAATAGATGTTTTGTTCACTAAGACTTTGAGAATGATTAACAGATTTGTACGTTTTAACAGGCTATTGATGGCTATTCGCACGTCTGTGCCCTGGTTGATTTTGCCTTAGCAATGAAACAATCATTAGAAAACATCAACAAACATTCATTTAATAATTTCCACTTAAGAGTTGGCAAGTATAATTTGTTACAAAAACCTAGAAAAATATTATTTGTCTTTCTTGTTTTTTAAATAAACTTGATGCAGGTTTTGCAAGTTTAAAAGTTTGACCCAAAAATGTATTTCCACCAATAAAATAAATATAAAACTACAAAGGAAGAGAAATAAATTTGTTAAAAACTTCTAATAGATAGAAGTAAAAATAAGTAATGAATGCATAGTAAAATACTTAGATATGATTAAAATAGACATTTTAATGGAACAAACTAGAATCTTTTTATTTTATTTATACATGTTATAAAGGAATAAGCAGTGGACCACTAGTAGGAGGAGTGATTGGTGCTCGAAAGCCAGTGTATGATATTTGGGGCAACACAGTAAACGAAGCCTCTAGAATGGACTCCACAGGAAAGATGGGGAGGATCCAAGTACCAAAGCACACCGCCATGGTATGTATACATTCAGTTTGTTCATCGGTTATATTTTAAACATGATGCATTTCAGATGCTCATAGAAAGAGGATACCTCATGGAGTACCGCGGCCTGGTCCCGGTCAAGGGCAAAGGCGAAATGGAGACATACTTTGTTCTAGGAAGGGGTGAAACCGAGGAGCAACTTACACCTAAGCCAACTATTCAGCATGCATCGCTTGCGGCAGTCGTTTACGGCATGGTACAAGCAAGGAGGCGTCATAACACACTGAAACATGCCACACGTATGTTCATATCGTCTAGCTTTTCAATAATTCTCTTCTCACCTTGTTTTTATTTTATTTTATTTTTTTCCCCACTTACCCTTTAAAACATTTTTAATTTTTATTTCAGAATTTCGACAATAATTTTTTTTTGACAAACAACATCAATATTGATGGGTCTTGCTGAATGGTACTTTTTATTATTTTTTTTTTATGTTTACTATTTTATTGGTTACATTCATTCCTTCTCCTTGAATACTAACTATAATAAAGTGGTGAACTTCTATCTAAAGAAGGTAAAGAATAAAATGTTATATTAGATAAATATATCGGGTCAGAAGTAAGTTTGCAGAACAAGTAGACTCAAAAGTTGTAAGGAAAATTACCTTGTATGTACAAACAAATGAACTAGACAAGCATCATATTTTTTATTCTTCTAATAGTGCAAAAAATAAATTAATTATGACCAGGCGAAATTAGAGGTTATTTACATTGTTTTGTTTTTTAAATATTTCTATCCTATTTCTTACAATTAATTTCAATAATTAATTTTTTAATCCTATTTCTTTTGGTTCACCATTTTTCAAAAATAATTTATGTACCAACTGATTTAATAACATTTTATATTTCATATTATTAACCTTTTCTTTGTCATTAAAAATTATCATTTTTTAACCCTGTTTAACAAATCTTTACAAAAAATTTTCTATCTTCTCATATTATATAATGTAATGCAACATTAACTATTAAAAAACTTTCCAGAGTTTCTATCTGTCTTGTCTTTTTTACTAATTTTATTAAAATGAATTTTAACATGATAAATAACAGGTTATGAACACAATTTCAGAAAATCCCTCAACTTCCTGCAAATCGCTTTGTATCTCTATTGTTCCCTTCTTCTTATTTTGTTGTAACTCTGTTTTCTATTTCTAAACCACCATATTTCTTTTTTCTTTCCTTATTACAAGGGATGGGCCGATGGGCTAGGTCGTTCCCCAAGTGCTTTAGGGGGATGCCGTCACCTCAAGGTTTGTATTGCAGCTCGAGCCACACAAACTTTCAGTCAGGCCAATTCTCTTCGTTCCATGCGATGGACAACATTCTCCCCGTTAGTATACTTCTCGCTTCACCCACCCGACTGTAATTTCCCGTGATATTGACTGTTTCTTTGTAATATCCTTCATTGGTCAATTTTTTTGGGGGAGTACTTTTGTCCAATGGTCATCGTTCCTTAACCATTCCTAGATAGGATCCATATGTTAATGACATTGTTTTTTTCTCCTTTTTTTAAATATTTTTGTTAATTTTTTTAGTGAAATCACTTGATTAAACTAAAACAAACAGTGTTTTATTTACATTTTATCAACTATTTTATGTTTTGCATGTTGTTATTTAGTTTATAATAATATAAGAAGTTATGAATATTATAGAATAAATGTCATGTGAAAAAAATGCAAATGGAAAAAATCTTTTTGAAATTAACTTATTGGTTATAGCCTTATTTGTATGTACATCAAAAGCACATTTTGTCTTTGAAACTTTCTCCCCCACAATTTATTAGCAAATTTAAATATTTACAAAATCGCACACATTTACAGTACATTCCAGCACAACCTATTCCATTTATTAGGATATGTAAAGTGAGTAGAGGTCAGTTGTTACTAACAGAATGAAACATGAGGGGCTGCATGAATCAGCATGACTGTGATGGGATTTTTATGTACCATATAGTTATCTAATAGTCGTGTTTTTATTTGTAGAAAGCGCAGGAGTTTTAAGCAGGACGAAGTCCCAGCAGGCGACATCGATACCATCAGGACACAAACTTGTCAACTTCAGCAGCTTCCGAATTTCAAAGCCGTCTCCATCACCCCTGCGGAGGAACACGACAAGGGCAGGCAGACAGCTGAGCCAGCCATCGCAGACCTACACATCTCAAGGGAGCATGAGGCAGCTGTCCGTCGATCCCACGCTCCTTCATTCTGCACCCGATACTAGGAATACGTCGCCGAACCTGTCCCAGGGAAATTTAAGGTCTGTCTCTATGAACTTCAACAATTCGACAGAGCAGGCCAGATGATGATCTCCTGCCTCCAGTGAATAATTGTGATACTCTCCGAGTGCTGGAAGACTCAATCAACTTTAATACAAGTCCTCTTGGTTGAAATTATCGAAACTGAGATATTGTGAAAGACCTGAAAGGAAATCAAAATTAATCCTATGAACAAGGGCCAAAATAGTTTAGAGACTTTTCTTTGTTTTTGTAAAAGTGGTTTTCCAAATGATTATTTTATACCATCTAAACAATTTATAAATGTTTGTTGTCCTGAGATATATTTTAATGAGTTCAAGACTGGGCGTTGTACTCACACATTATATAGTTTTTACTTCTAAAGTGTTCAAATTACATGTTATAGTTTTGTATAAAGATATATATAAATATATACATATATATGTGAAATTTTATCAAGCAAGACATTTTTCAATACATGTTTTATTTATAACATATAAGGTACACAAACAGTCTTTAAATAGAGCTGGGTCCTGTCAGCGTTGAGATGAAACTTCAATGCATATTGAACGCTTGATAAACAATCATATTATGCAAAATTGGATCAATTTGAATTGTGACAACCAAATTAAAACAGTCGATGTATGATTTCTTCAACAAAACCTCATTCTATCTCTATTCATGTTTTTATAACTCTATTTAAATTTGTAAATTAAACAGTGTTATTAATTCTACAAAAAATTTAATACAACTCTCCTAAATTCTTTATTTGACACATTTGAACCCTTTTTTTAAACAAAAGCTACAAATAGAACAAACCTATGATTTATATAAATAGTGATGCAAAGTATTTCTATTGTGTCCACACCTTGTTACTATAGAAATAAAACCATTCAATAAAACCAACTAGCAAATACCGTTGAAAAGGTGGTTTTTATTCTGGGATTGCAGTCAGAAAATTCCAGTTTGTACGCAATCTGGAATCCAATTATACGGCAATATTCTTTGTCGATGTTTTGGTGGTTTGACCTCTTTTTCTCAAACCTTCCTTCAGAGAAAGAAGGTATGTCCACAAAAAGTCAGCCAAAATCGTATATAAGAGTGAGTAAAAACTTTAGGTTTTTTACTGCAATTCTAAAACATTGACCATTAATAGAAAACAATCATAGTTTTAGGTTAAAAGGAGTCGGCCTTTTTAAGACCTTGTGCACCGCCACCAATATTGGTCTGTAGTGCAATCTCCACTATTGTTTGACTCTCTTCATTCTTTACCAGAAGTCAAAATTTTGTTAAGGACTCCCTGTGCTTGGCTTTTTCTCTTCCAAAAGGAGAAATTTCAGCCTGAATAAGGCCTTTGCATCAACAGTAGACATCGCTGTTTCTTCTTCTTCGTGGCAATAAGAATGTTCATGCTGATATTTCAAAAGCATTCGACAGGGTGGATAGACATAGTCTTGGCGAAAAAGCTACAAGCCTCTGGAATTATCCTTGTTTATCCTTAACTAGCCTAATTTAAGTCATTCTCGGTTAATAGATCATTTGCTGTCTCCTATAAATGTGCTCTTTCTGATGTGGTTCGTATAGACTCGGGTGTTCCTCAGGACTCACACATAATTTTATTTTTGACCTTCTTCAATGATGTTACTATTAAGAATAATCATTTAGCACTGCTTACCGATGATTTAAAGCTGTTTAAAGAGATAATTTGTGAGAGTGATTGTAGTCTTCTTCAAGAGGACCTGACGGCATTTTTAAATTGATGCAGATGCTGCTAGAATTTCTTATTAGAGAAGTGTAGTACAATTAATTTTGTTGTACAATATTGAAAATATTGATGATAGGGGAAGGTCACATATATATAGATATGACCTTATAGAGATACCAATATAGACGATTATTATATTGATCGAAAAAATTATTAATTTGCTTGAAAATGCTGTAAATAAAAAGGAATGAATGAATGAAAAAAGTACTTTATTAAGTAAACAAATGAAAATAATCTAACAAAGCATATTCAATGGATCTGGAATCTTCTGCCAGAAAATAATAAAGAAAATACACATTTTTCCAAAAACAACTACGTGGTGAAGTTTGTAACTTAAAAAAAATATTAAAGGGCTTACCTAAATAAAATCCTCTTATAAAAAATTTAACAGAAGAATAAGACTACGATGATGCAAAGTCTTCCTGTTAAAGGACAATATAATGCAATGCCCTTATCCGCGCTTTGCCAAGTTCCCCTTTCACATAAACAAGCAACGTATAAAGCACAGGACTACGTCAACACATTCTTGCAGAGCTATAAATTTCGATTCAATACTCTTATAATAATACAGAAGAATACTTTGAAAAAACGGTCAACCCAGGAAATATCTCCGAGAAGAACTTAATCCGATTAAAAAATCCATCCCAACCGATTATCCGATTGTTAATAATCCATTCAAGGCCAACGTTGCGAAATTGCAACACCAACTATAATATTTTTTAAAGCAATTGTTTAAAATTGTGAGATTTTCTGTGTAGGTATTAGTAGTTTGATGGTGGTTGATGGATTAAGCCGGTCTTTTAGGTTTTCGGTCCTTTTCCTTTATTAATTCGTGTTGTTTTAAATGGCGCGAACAATGTGAGCTGTTGTTAATTTGTGTATGAGTTTTTGGTGTTGAATGTGTTTTTTTATGTATTTCTAAATTTTCGTCTATGTTCATTTTCTGTCCTTTTTGAGTGGGTTCGTTTTCTGTCCGTTTTGTGCGTAGTAATATTATACTTGGTTGTGCCATCATGTATTATTTTATTTTATTATGCATTATTTTCTATATGTGAGTCGCGTAATTTTATTTTCCGTCGCTGTTCTTAAACGATTTGATATGTTCCTTGTATTTGTCTTTTAACTATCGTCCGATGTATTTCACTCCCTACCCGCATGTTTGTGTGTTTGACTTGGTAATTTTCCGATTGTGTTTGTGGTTTTTAGTGCCTAACTTTTTAAACAAGTTAGTTTGTATATTAATTTCCCAATGTATATGAATGTGGTCCATCTGTTTTTGAAGTGTTGCTTTGTTGCGTTTGTGTTGTAGCCGTTATCGTGAGCTAGGTTTGTATTCGTTTTCGTAATTGTCTTTGGTCAGTGGGATTGATATTAGTCTTTCTGTCATGTGTTTCAGTGCTTTTCGTTTTCTGTTTTTGTGTTAGTTAAGACAGAAAGTTTTTACCGTTGTTTGTTTCTATTTCTGCGTTGAATTTTATGTTTTTGTGTAGTGAGTTCAAGTCTTTCAGTATGTTGTTTGTGCAGTTGTTGATGTTTGCTATGGCGAGTATGACGTCTACGTACTACACACGTGTGTGATATTGTTAAGCCAGAATTTCGGGGAAGTATCTCTCTTCAAAACATTGTAATTGTATTGTATAGTTTAAAATTAATGTTTTAATTTTTGTCAAACCATTCTTTGCATTTATTTTACTACAGTCAACCGATGAACCAAGTTCTAGTAGTTCCGTTGTATCTAGTTATGTTTTTGGAGCAAATTTTAATCTTTATTTAATCAATCATTTTCTTCTTTATTTAGGACCATTTTTGTTAAGTTTATAACCCTTTGGTAAAATATAATTTGAGTTGTTTGGCTTTTGCGTATTTTTAAGTTCCTGAAACAACACCTGCAAAGATCTTATTAATTGTTTTATTATACTCCATTAATTATTTTTTATCAAAGGTCTAAAATTAATAGGTCCATCACACTACTAAATACATATATTGATGATTTTGTAGAATCTTCATCGGCTGCGTTGTTCCTAGTTAGTCCGATGTTCTTCGCAGTTAGAAACATTCCCCGAGTCTCTGGAAGTACTATGGGTATTTTGGGGAAGGGCGTGAACTGCCTTCTATCCGCCCTTTGAGGTGGTGAAGTTTGGAGACGATGTCTTTTCTTGGCTGCATCTACTATTAGAATGGGGCTGACACCTTATGACCCCCTCCGCAGTTCGTACATGTTAATTGGGCCTGTGCTTCTTTATTAGGACCGTCCTTGGTTTCGTGATGTCCATCATGCTTTGGATTACGGTGGCAGAGTACAGCTAAGTACTCGAGGCTTTGGCAATGAGTTTGCCTCAACATTGAGATAACATGATTATTCATAAATCGTGAGATGAGGTCTGGTGTGATGTAGGTTTCAGAAAAACATTTTCTTAATCCTGCCAACGTTTCGATCTTTATTGAGATCATCTTCAGGGCCTGGGATTTACAAACATTGTTTAAATTTAACAAATATATGTAGTATGTGGAAAAAATGTGAATTTATACAATGCAAAAAATATTTTTTATATTCAATCAAAGTATTTCTACTCACTCAAATTGTTTGTTTTCTGTGTAATTGTGCCATTCTTGCGTGTCGTGTTGAGAGTGCCAGTGAGATATTGCTGTTTTGTGTATATATATGTTGGATTTTTAAGGGGTGGGGAAGGAAGTCGGTATAGAAGGACATTTCTGTATTGGTGGAACCCAGTTGGTGTCCGAGTGGATCGAAGTCACGATAGCTCAAGTGGTTAGAGCAGCGGCGTATTGAGCCGAAGGTCGTGGGTTCGAATCCCACTCATGACACTAACGTTTTAATCTCAACCAAGACCTTACATAAAAAGAATAATTAATTGAAATAATTAATATGGTAAATTAGACCACTAAACATAATGGATTAATATATAATAAGTAAAGGAGTATCACTTCACTAAAAGCTCCCCGTAGCCACTTCATAAGTAGCTGAGAATCAAATCCTAATTACACATTAGAATAATGGCAAAAAAAGGAGGGAAAATTCGAAAGATTGTAGGTCGAGATGGAGAGTTGGTGTCCGAGTGGATTGAAGTCAAGATAGCTCAAGTGGTTAGAGCAGCGGCGTATTGAGCCGAAGGTCGTGGGTTCGAATCCCGCTCCTGACGCTAGCTTTTTCATTTCAACTTGTGTAAAACGGTTGATTCATTGAAAGATGTAACTTGGTGAATTAGACCACTAAACATAATGGATTAATATATAATAAGTAAAGGAGTATCACTTCGCTAACAGCTCCCCGTTGCCACTTCATAAGTTGCTGAGAATCAAATCCTAATTACGCGACATTAGAAAAATGGCAAAAAAAAGGAGGGAAAATTCGAAAGATTGTAGGTTGAGATGGGGAGTTGGTGACCGAGTCGAGTGGATTGAATTCAAGATAGCTCAAGTGATTAGATCAGCGCCGTATTGAGCCGAAGGTCGTGGGTTCGAATCCCGCTCTTGATGCTAGCTTTTTCATTTCAACTAAAACCTTATATAAAAAGGTTGATTAATTGAAAGAGGTAATTTGGTGAATCAGACCACTAAATATAATTTTCTCAGGCTCAGGGTTTGTCTGTTTTTTATTTTATAACAATAAAATTTCATTATTTAAGGACAAGCCAATCTAATCTTTGAGAATTTCGAGACGTTTCCTTGCAGAAGAAGTTTTTGTCTTGACAAAACGATCCAGGCTTTTCAGCTCAGTTTCCTACCATTTTATAACTGCATAATTTATTATTATTGTATATATTTATTTGATATTCGGGTTGTGCGTATAACTGTCAGTTGATTGTAACTGAAAATAAGGCCGATTTATAAACAGACCCCCCAGTTCGCCGATCATTGCCGAAAAGCGGCGATCGTCTGCTCCTCTCGCCCAGTCAGCCGTTAGAACGTAATCGGCAGCAGTGCGTCTCGGCTCTCGGCACTCGGCAGTCGGCAGTAGTTGTCAAGCACTCCCGGTCGAAGCCGTCCGTATCACATTTCGCTCATCGGCTGCCGGATTTATTTTTGGTGAGGACGTTCACTCGGACGTGTGCTCAAACCGGCGGCGCCAACTTCAATTTACACAGGGACGATGGTAAGAGATTTGACGAGTGTCCATCCCCAGGGTTCCTTTATCCTGGCAGGGTGGACCTGTTCCGGCGGCTGAGGTTCGCCTCGTCTCTGTCTTTTGCACGTCGAGACAAGCCCCGTTTTTTTTAAAATCATATCCCAATTTAAATTTAGCTTTATTAATTCAACAGGTTAATTCGCCTCTCGGGTACTCTTATCGTTTTGGAAGATGTAAATTAAAAAAACACCCGGGTTATCAATTATCGGCATAGATTATTGTTTTTCTCCTCTGCCGATTAACGTTTTCAAATGGGATAAAAATTGCCAAACGGACCCGCTGTTTATTTGGTATTTTCTTCCTTTTCTTTTCTCAGGTCGACTTCTTCGTACCTGTTTTTAACCAGCCGGCTCTTGAAAGAGGACAGGACAATAAATCACGTTAGAAAGTTGATAAAAGCCAAGAAAACCGTTTGATTTTTTTTAAACTTTACATTTTCGCCTTGAAAGATAATAAGACTTTATGCTGTTTTTTAACTTTCCAAGATAAACTCGGGCCGGGGTTCGATAAAAAACGAATTTCACTAGCTACGACTGTTAATTTAAAATTTACATTACAAAACCCACCGAATTGTGTATTTCTGGAATACGCGGTACACGTGGAAACAATTAAATTGCGTCCAACCGTCGCGTCGAGTTTTCTGGAGAAAAAATATATTAGAATGCAGAGCACTCTGTAGAAATATGTATTTTTATTTAATTTTTTATAACACTTTGACAGCGTTTGTATTTTTCATCAATCAATCATTGAGTTTGTGTGTATTCGTTCGTTTGTGTAGGTGGTGCAATACACAAGAATTGTATGTGTCGGCGTGTGTATGCACAAGAGAGTGAGAGAAAGAGAGAGAGAGTGAGTTAGTGAGTGAATGAATGAGAGGGAAAGAGATTTGAGAGAGAGGAAGTGAGATAGAAAGTGAATAAGATAAACAAAGAGAGTAAATGAGTGAGAGAGAAAGAAAATTATGAGATAGAGAGTGAATAAAAGAAAGAGTGAGTCAGCGAGAGAGAGAGAGAGAGAATGAGAGAGAGAGAGAGAGTGAGTGAATAAGAGAGAGAAAGAGAGAGAGAGAGACTGAGACTGAGTGAGGGAGAGAAAGAGAGAGAGAAATAAAATTGTGAGATAGAGAAGATAGAGAGGGAATAAAAGAAAGAGTGAGTGAATAAGAGTGAGAGAGAGAGACTGAGGGAGGGAGAGAATGAGTGAGTGAGAAAGTGAGTCAGGAAATAGAGAGTATTGAGTGGGAGAGAGTGGCTTAGTGATTAACAGTAAAAGTGAGAGAGTGTGAGTGAGCGAGTGAATGTATGAGTGAGAGAGAAATAAAATTGTGAGGTAAAGAAGATAGAGAGTGAATAAAAGAAAGAGTGAGTGAATAAGAGTGAGAGAGAAACTGAGGGAGGGAGAGAATGAGTTAGTGAGAAAGTAAGTCAGGAAATAGAGAGTGAGTGAGTGGGAGAGAGTGGCTTAGTGATTGACAGTAAAAGTGAGAGAGAATGAATGAGCGAGAGAGGGAGTGAGTGAATGAATGAGTGAGTGAGAGAGAAATAAAATTGTGAGATAGAGAAGATAGAGAGTAAATAAAAGAAAGAGTCTGTGAGTGTAAAAGGGAGTGGAGTGAGATAGAGAGTGAATAAGAGAAAGAGAGATTAAGTAAGTGAGGAAGAGAGAGAGAGAGAGAGAGATTGAGTGAGAGATAGTGAGTGAGTGAGATAAAGAGTGGGCGAGTGAGATAAAGAATTGGCGAGAGAGATAAAAAGTGGGAGAAAGAAAAAATAATGGGTAAGAGTGAGTGAGAGTGAAAAAGAAAGTGTGTGTTTGTCCGGTCTGAAGGGAGTGAGTGATCGATGGTGCATGCGGTAGCGCGCATAATATCTACATAATATAAGTCGACATCTGATTGTGAACAATATTTAATTATCAATAAAGTAGCATTTCGATTTTTTAATGACTGATAAAAGTCTAGAATAGCGTTGAAATATGTGAAAAATTCTGAAATTGAAACTGAAAAAAAGCTGGAATTATGAGAAAGTTGAAATCAAAAATTATAAGGCCTATCTTTTTTAACATTTTGCTCAGCTATTATGATTTTCAATATGAAACTTGTTTCTTTGGAATAAATAACTGACAGATTTTTTCTTAAATATCCGTTTTACTATCACTCCTTGAGATATTATTTTTTTGGATTTTAAAATTTTTTAACGCTTTGCCCAAATATCGTGTGAAAGTTAACCAAGCAAATTTACACTCATATATTCAATTAAAATTGCCTACATTTATTAAGAAGAATTTTTTTTAAAAGGAACATGAAGAGATTGAGTGGTGCACGTTTTTTCAAATTGTCCGCAATTTTCGTTCGCGTTTTCTTGATTTAAACCGAGAAAACTGATAACATGCTGGATTAACGCTGTCTGTTTTGCTGAATGTTTAATTTTTTTAATCATTTTTATCTTCTCTGTTTGTAAATTTCTTGGTGGTTAGACGCAATTTGTGGACTAGTTTTTTGAACATTTGCCAACTAATAGTTATTAAAAAAAAAGTCGGTAGTTTCAAAGTAATATCAGTAGTTTCAAAAATAGTAATTAAAAATGCTTTTTGTGTGAAAGGCTGATGTATGAGCCGTACTTTTTTTAATCCAACACGATTAATTATGAGTTTTTATGCACTGAAAAGCTTATAACATGGTAGAACGTTGGACTCTCATTTTAATACTGTTTTTTGTGTGTGTGTGTGTGGTTTTTTTTAAATTTATTTTTATTATCTCTCCTTGAGAGATAATGTTTTTTCATAATTGTCAATGCACGTTTTAAATATTTCGTCAAATTTGCCAAAGAAAACGTGCAATCTCGAATCAAAAATACTTGAAAATTGAGATTTTTACGGTTCACGTGTTCAAGTATTCTCTCAGGGTGCATTGGAAAATTAATTCACAATCGATAATTGAATTATTAAAACCTGTTGTAACTATGATTTAAAAAATTTGCCACAATTTTTATTTTACACTTTATGCTTTTTGTTGTTTTAGTTTCTGGACTAAATTTTGCTTGTCGTTTTCTTTATTTCACTTTCTTTCCTTGAGAGATAAAGAGGTTTTCCTCACAAATTTCACTGTTTTTAATTTAAGATATTCACTCTGTAGGAAAGAGATAAAACTCTCCCCAGGACGTCAACCCTAAAGTACTCACTCACACCAACTGTCTGTGTGTCTCGTCAGTTCTCGACATTTTGTGTGTTTTTCTTACAGAGTGAAAAACCAGAACAATTTTTTATTATTGTTATCAGTAATTTATTAAACAATGAAATAAGCACGCAGTTTTCTATGTTGGATGAAATTTTGCTTGTCAACAGTCTATGAAACCATGACTAATTTTCTGTTCGTTTGGCTTACTTTATCTCTTGACATAGTTGGATTCGAAAATATAAATTTAAAAAATATATTGTACTTTCGACCAAAAAGGTCCTAATTTTTGATATGGGCGTTGGTTGGCGTAAATATTTTTACACAATTTTAGGTTCTAACTTTCTCAGAATTCATTATAAATTTTCTTCCACACAGTTTGAAGATACGCTGGAATTTTAAAAATATTTTAATGCTATTCGTTATTGTTAATTACATATTGTTCCAAATTAAATATTATAACGATTTACACTGGCGCACTACCACATTCACCCTCGATCACTCACTTCCTTATACACAAAACAAACAAACACTTTCACTCCCCCACTCCCCATTATTTTCTTTCACTTCTCTATCCCTCCCTTTCACTTGCACTCACATATACACTCACTCACTGTCTCACTTCCCCCTCTCTCGTTGTTCACTTATACACACACACACACACACACACACACACACACACTTTATCTCACACTCATTCTCTCTCTCTCTCTCTCTCTCTCTCTCTCTCTCTCTCTCTCTCTCGCTCGTTCTCTCTTTTCTCTCACATTCACTGACACACATATACATACATTCTCACTCACTTACACTCTCCCCTCTCTCGTTCACTTGCGCACACACATTCCCTCTTTCTCCCACACTCACTCACTCACTCACTCTCCATTACTTTCTCCCCCTTCTCTATCCCTCCCTTTCGCTTGCACTAACACATATACACTCACTCACTGTCTCACTTTCCCCCTCTCTCGTTGTTCACTTATACACACACACACACACACACACACTATCTCGCACTCATTCTCTCTCTCTCTCTCTCTCTCTCTCTCTCTCTCTCTTTTCTCTCACGTTCACTGACACACATATACACACATTCTCACTCACTTACACTCTCCCCTCTCTCGTTCACTTGCGCACACACATTCCCTCTTTCTCCCACACTCACTCACTCACTCTCCATTACTTTCTCCCTCTTCTCTATCCCTCCATCTAGTGTTCACTTACACTCTCTTTCTCTCACTCACTCCCCCCTCATTCATTTACACACACACACACACTCTCTCTCTCTCTCTCTCACTCTCTCTCTCTCTCTCACTCTCACTCTCTCTCTCTCTTTCTCTCTCTCTCTCACTCACTCACTCACTCACTCACTCACTTAATCACGCACTAACTTCCTCCCCCTCTATCCCCCCGTCTCTCATTCATTTGCACACACCCACTCACTTTCTTCCCCTCTCTATTCCTCTCTCTCTCTTCACTCGCTCTCTTTCTCTTCACCTTTCTCCCCCTATCTATCCTCTTTAATCTGTAAATTCTTTAGAAGTACCAAATTTGTTTAAAAGGTCTCGGTACCCAAATGGCAGAGTGGTTTGTATTTCCGATTCATATTTGCTCCGCTAGCGGTTCTGTGTTCGAATCCTGGCATAGACCGTATTTTTAATTGGCAGTCGTATGAAAAAGGTGTTGTATTGGTTTTACTCCTCGTCCGCGACAAACAAACCATTTAGTAGGTCGTTTTAGCCCTCTTGAATGACGGGATATAATAAGGTTTTTTTCGCTACTTGACTTTTCGATGTTTTTTATAATGTTTTATGTATTAGTAATTGATTTTTTTTAAATAATAGAATATGTAATTTTGTCATTTTGATCATTATTCCTATACATGACTCTGTCAAAATTACAAATTTACAAAAATAACCGGACTTTTTTGTGGTCCTTCTTCCTTAATTGGATTAAAATTTGAGGTATCAAGCTTCATTTCTACATCGTTACACAGCATTTTCTAATATATTAATTAATTAAACTGAAAGTTTGAAATATATTTACAAAGCCGGGATATAGCTCTGTAATTATTTGTACATAATAAAGAGAGTATAAAGTTAGTTGTATACATTTTTATAATCTGATTTTGGTATAAATGTTTTGCAGAGTGTTCAGAGGTGAATGATCACGATTTATCTCCAAAAGATATCAAATTTATAAAGCTATAAGATTAATTGATCGTTCCGAAACCGTTAGGAAATAAATTATCTTTGGTATTTTTGGGAGAAACTTTTTATTTTATTTTTAGTCAGGGGGCAAAAAGATTTAATACTTTCCCCCCTGGGGTTTTGTAATATCATGACCCACATACGATAACATTTGAGATAAACCTCAGAAGGCCAAAATTTACTTGTAAATATGATTTTAAAATGCAGTATTTTTTTAAAAATATTTTTCCTTCTTGAAAGGGGTCAAAGAACTTGAAACGACGACTACGTCTGTTCCTTCTTCGAAGAGAGTGGGATAAGATCCAGTTTCTTCAGGTAAATCGATATAATCCGAACAACAAAGGCACAATAGAAAAAAAAACGCGTTTTCTAACGGAATTTTTAGGCATTTTAAAAGTGGAGGAAAAATATCGCGTCGGGACGTTTAAAAACTCGGAAATCGTGCTTAAATGGAGGTAAAGTTCATCACTGATGAGGGTCGCAAATGTGGATATGTTTTAAGAATTAGCAAAAATAGGAAAATATTTTTTTTCTCGTTTGGGTTTCCCAAATCATACACATTATTTGAGTACAACTGGCAACAAGTGTTATTCTGAGGCTTTGAACATGGTTTTGATTGCCTTTCTTGACTTTTTATTATAGATATGTTTACTTATTTTGCTTTTTTACTTTTTACTTTATTATAGATTTTATTATAGAGTATATAGGTTACACAGGCCTTGAGGATCGCCCAACCTGGGTATTGGCAGTACGGGTCAAACCTTGGTCTTATCCGTAAAACAACAGAGGTTGGGCTCCAGGGGCTATCAATAGCTAGGTCAATTCAGCCCTCAATGCAATCACTCTCTAAATCTTAACACATTCAAGCTCTCATTCTTAACTATATTCTTTCTTATTTTCATACCATTCGCTAGGTTAGGTGTACTTGATATTCCTCTTGCAACCTCTATACATTTTATGTAACTAATTCTGAATGTATTTATTAGCGAGATGTGCAGTGTTAGAGATCTAATTGAGTGTCAATGGAGTACTCAGTATTCTGCCTTTGACCCTCAATTAGATCTCCCACAATACAAATTCATGCTATTAAATACTTTCAGTCTCAATATGCACAAAGAAATGCAAAAAGAGATATCTATACAGTACATAGAGTAAAATAGTCCTGTTTTCTGTAAAAATGAGAACAGGACAAGCAAGCACTTGCTGCTGAGCTCAAGCATAAATCTCATATCGAGTGGCAATCACGTCTCTACACACGTCTATCTACTCGTTCTCTACATGGAGCCAAGAAATCACACCCTTCATTTAAGTGGGACACGTGGAATTACCAATTTTTTTTTTCATTTATTTGTTTATTTACAATGTCCTACATGAAGCATATAGCCTAAATTAAATTTAGAGCTTTCTCTATGTGGTTTGCAGGATGATGAACCTGTAATTTGGTTGTCACTGGTCACTGGCCATCTTCAATGCCGAGTCTGGATTTTTGTCATTTCACAACAGCTAAAATCCACTGAAAATGGTGAAACACCGAAATGAGTCTAAACTGTCCAAACAAGCAAGGATAGGCAGACCAAACTGATTAGAAATGACCGAATAAAAGATTCTTTTCCCCACAGACAACATGGAGAAATCTCATTATGCAAATTTATGTAGACTGATTGATCTCAATCAGCTTATTCTTGCTAGTTTCGCCTGTCAGATATGTTTTGCCATCTTAAATGATGGATTTGTCACAAACTGATATACCAATTCAGGCCTAGACAAACATCTCACATTGAAAAGTTATATAAAGAAAAAAGGTGTTAAAACAAATAAACAATAATTCACACAATTATTCAGAAATCGTGAGATGCGGTCTGGTGTGATGTCGGTTCCAGAAAAACCTTTTCTTTATCGTGCCAACATTTCGATCTTTATTGAGATCATCTTCAGAGCTCGAAGTGTTTGTCTTCTGTGTAATTGTGCCATTCTTGCGTGTCGTGTTGAAAGTGTCACTCAAAAAGGGGCACTCTCAACACGACACGCAAGAATGGCACAATTACACAGAAGACAAACACTTCGAGCTCTGAAGATGATCTCAATAAAGATCGAAACGTTGGCACGATAAAGAAAGTGTTTCTGAAACCTACATCACACCAGACCGCATCTCACGATTTCTTAATAATTATCGATTAATGGTCACTAATCACCCACACATAAACTGGTCAACATTAATAGTTTATTTCAATCAATTAATCTTTATGTAACGTATTGGTTGAGATAAGAAAGTCAGTGTCACAAGCGGGATTCGAACCAACGACCTTCGGCTCAATACGCCGCTGCTCTAACCACTTGAGCTATCATAACCTTGATCCACTCGGACACCAACTCCCCATCTCAACCCCACCTTTCGAATTTTCCCTCCTTTTTGCCATTTTTCAATTGGACCACAAATTCTAATGGGATTAATAGTTTAATTTTCTTGCTGTATTGCAAAATTTACATAATATTTTCCAGTCCTTATAATTTACCAATAAAATTCACCCAAAGTGAGGTTTTTACATACGTCATTTTAATAAATGAAGTTCACCTAGCAATGTAAATTTCAGTAATAATTAATAATTTTACATTAGGAAAAATAGTCAATGTGTACATTATTATTGATATTTCATTTTCCAAGAAAGTTATTTCTTACTTCTCGGTTTTTGTTGTGTTTTACAATAATACAATAGCTGGATTACTGCTGGCTTACAAGTATTGCGTAAAGTTCATTCACTCCCTTAACTCTCTGTATAATCCATTCGGATATCTTTTTTCATATCATCCATGTGTATCCACAATTACTAAAGGTTAACACATTATGAATTTATTTAAAATATACACTAGTGATTCTTTATACATCCTACATGACTAGCAATTTGGAAAATATATTTTATATAATTTATGTACCCATTTCATAATATGACATTGTCGATAGTGAACAAAATAATATGCCCAGTCATTTTAATGATCAAAAAATCTAAAATAGCTGTAATATATTTGTTTTTGTCATACAAAAGCCAAGATTTTTTTAAATGTTTTATACTGTTATGAATTAAAAAATCGGAAAGTGTCATGCAAACTTTTTATTTCAGTTGGCCCTAAAGAATAATATCCCAAAGCAAATCAGGCTTATAACACAGCGAAAATTTAGCATAAATACAGTGCTTAGGAATGGCGACAAGCCAGTGGCGGGTGTCCCTTACAGCAGTCTCAAGATTGGCGTACCGAAAGAAACATGGAAGGAAGAGAGGAGGTGAATAAACTAAAATAACCCAATTTGCCTTTGAAATATGTGTAATTAATATAAAATATTTCAGGGTCGCCATGACACCTACAGTAACATCAACTCTAGTCAAAAAAGGCTTCACCGTGGCAATCGAGTCAGGCGCTGGTGTGGGTGCAAAATTCAGAGACTCGGACTACACGGAAGCCGGGGCAAAAATTGTCAACAAAGAAGAAGCATTTACCTCTGGTAGGAATTCATTTAATAATTTATTTTTCATTTTATGTTATAAAAAGCTTTTGATCTCAGCATTGAAAACAGAAAGTAGCCTTGACCATCGTAGATATTCCAGTTAAATATTGTACTGTGAATTATTATTTCTAAAATTAAAATTTAAACAAAAAACAATGTTCGTTTAATTTTTTGAATACTCTTCTATTTTTCTTACAGTTAGATATAACAGATAATACAATGAATTATTAATAACTAGATCTGGTTATTGTGATTATATGTGTTTGATTTTTTACTCCCTGATCTCAAAAGATTATCTGTAGTTGATTTCAGCTACTGTTATTGAAGAAAAGATAAACAGTTTATCTCAACAAGCTGACTTTTATGTAAATGGGCAATTGGTGTTAGCAGTAAATTTTTGTCCCAGATAGACCATTTTACAGGGAGAAAAATATTCATACAAAAACTTAATTTTCTTTTAAACATCTCACCTTTCTTATAGTAACAATTGAAAATTTGATTTATTTCCATATGTAGATAAAGAAATATTCAGTAATGTTATGTTTAAAATGTCCTACTGTTTGAAAAAACTTCATATTTTATGTATTTTAAAAATAATTATGCAATTAATTAATTACTATGCCGTTAATTAGCTCAATCCAGAAAGCAAGATGTTATCTGATATTTATATCATTTGGAGTTATGAGATAACCCAAGGAAAAAAATTGTTTGTACTAGTTATCTTAATTGAAGAAAAAAGTAATAAGCAACACTGGCGAAATGCTGAAACCAGTCGTGTCACAAAAATATTGTTACTTAAACAAATAAATTAATAATTTTAATAGGATTGATAAATTTTCATTGTTGCTTTTGTTTTTTCAGATCTTGTTTTGAAAGTGCGCCAGCCTAGTGAAAGTGAGGTTCAACTATTCAAACCCGACACTACACTAATTTCATTTCTTTACCCTGGTCAGAATAGGCCACTTATCGACAAGTTGGCTTTAAAGAAAATCAATGCATTCGGTAAGTAAAAATTTCAAGTGTCACTCTTGAATCTTAATAACAAGTGGCTTTTATCTTTTCAATTATTTGAATAGTTTAATTTTCTGTGATTAAGTAAACATATTTTTTTTTCTAAACAGCGATGGACTGCATCCCGAGGATTTCGAGGGCCCAGGTCTTTGACGCGTTGAGCTCGATGGCGAACATCGCCGGTTACAGGGCAGTTATTGAGGCTGCTAACCATTTTCCAAGGTTCTTCGCAGGTATAAATATTACTAATTGACATTTCATCTAACAGCAAACTACGTTTTTACTCCCGTTTAGAAAATACATTTTTCTCACTTCTACATAAACACGAGTTTCAATTATTTGTTGGTGTTATGTTAGTTTCTGCTCAACAGACTGAATAAACAAGAAAATTAACAACTCAAATGGTGTTATTTAAGGAATAATAACTATGAAAAACAAACCTTGAGTTATTTCTATGTTCACATTACCCTAATGTTTGACCACAATTATTTATGTTAACTGTATACCCTTTTTTTTAATTTATTTCACATTGCGAATGCTTAAAACAATTATAATTAAACAAATACCTTTCAGACAAATTTTAACATTATGATTATGTTCATCTGAAGGAATTAGATTTTGGCATACAAAAGATCTCGATGACAATTAACAATATTGATAAATAGATTATTAAGATTTTTTATTAGTTTCAGTCCCATTCAGTACATTAATCAAAGTTAATTTTTAAACAAAATTTGAGATAACCTGGACAATGAAAGAGAATTGCATGAAAATTATCTGTTGAGATGGAAAGCAGATCAAGTCACAGTGGCTCAGATGGTTAGTGTTAAGGGACAGTTCTGAAGACTGGGTTCAAATAAATTATTGTTATAATAATAATAATTTTACGTATTTATAAATTTGTTGAAGTCGTGAGGAGCTGTCAAGAACGAAGTATTTTTTTTAGAAACCTTTTTGATTTTTTGCCTTTATTCGAGTCATTTTCATGGGCGAATTAAAAACTCTCCCAGAAAAAATACAATACAGATGGAAATATAAATTTTAAATAATGTATTTCACATAAAATGTGGTGCTATTCTTGTGGTGTCTGATTACAAATTCAAGTTTCACAATTTCGTATTAAAAAAAAAAAAAAAAAAAA